TACTATAGCCACTAAATAGTGAGCATAGGCGAAAATTGGTGGGTATGCTTGGTGGGGGGGGGGGTAAGCCCCCCAAAACCTAGGACATACAATTTTAATATGCTATACCTATTGCAATGGTCTGTTTGCCTTAAATATAATCAGCCCCTCCCTCCCCCCAAGTCAAAAGTTGAAATAGTGAGGTACTGAGGTGTTAACGAATTAAACTCGGCGCGGCCGTGGTGTTGTGGATAAAACAATCGACAATCACAATGAAATGAACTATGAAGATAATCCATAAAATATTATACTATTATGAGATACTGAAATGGGACATTTTAAAACGATTTTTAAATCGTTCAAGTGTTGTTGTAGGTACATAAACACTACACAGCATACACACACGCTACGCCACTGGTACATCCGAGTAGGTATAATTTCCGTGCTATAAAATATAAATACTCTTGAATAATCGTTAAACGTAACATGCATGTTATTCCCACCCAGCCTTCGATTTACGGTGACGATCGACGACTCCGAAGAAATTGATAACATTGTTAAAATTACGTGTATCATTTTCGTGGCTTCGTGCTACATCTATATTTTATCGTATTTCATATCAACAATATAATAATAAGCAATTCCAACAAAATAATTGTGTGCATGTGACATGTTCTAAATTCAATACGATATTATTGTTTATTATATAATAGGTATGCGGGATAAACTACAAGAGTCGAGGGCTTAAAATAATTGTATGTTCTTCATAATATCAATTATCATATTATATACGTACCTAACAATTGACATTGGCATCGGTCGTTATGACTTTATGATAATGAGTTGGTCAGTCAGTCAGTGGCACGATTACCCGCCACTGGGGAGGCAATATGCTCTGCCTATCCATAGAATAGTAGGTAGGTCGTAGGTACACAGTGTATTACCGTTGGTTATGAATACTAGTATTTATAATTAATGGTATTGGATTAATATTCTGTGAAATTTCTATGAATAATCAATATAATAACTATCTTTATAAATTATTATTTATTAATTAATATAATTAATAGTGAAAAGTTTTTTATAAGCTCATAATATGTTGCGGGAAATTTTTTGTTTTAATGTGGCCCAGTGATATTCCTTAAAATATCCACTGTCACCTCTACCATTTCGTTATTATTTATATTGCTTAGTTTTGTGTTATAATAGTGTCTTAAGTGTATCATATAATACCATGTAGATTACATATCGACACAATATCGGCCACCGCCGGATTGCCAGTCCGCAGGATAATACAACCGCCCAAATTATTTAGTACCTACTGTTGAACTGTTAGCACATTTAAATTTTAACCCATACAACTGTTATTTTAGTTTATATTATCTCTAAGTTTTGTTTTATTTAAGTTGAAATCTTCTTTGAACTGTACTCATTTAATTTTAGTAAAAGTAAAGAATATATATTTTGTAATTTATAGTAATTATAATTTATAATAATTATAATTTATAATAATAATAATAGTATATATATTACGCAAATCAAAAATATAGTACAAAAGTATAGGTAAAAATAAGATAAATTACAAAGATTTGCATAGCTTGTGATGGGGAGTTTTAATAGAATTCAATTATTGACAATATAAACATATTTTCATAATTACATCATATGTTATTTATCGATAATCATAAATCTATTTGTTAAAGATCAACGTTTTTTAAGTACAATTTCAAATCTTTTACATTTTTAAAATTACATATATTTATTTTAAGTATTCTACATAATCTGATTACAATTGAAATAGCACTTTTAATGCCAAACTGTTTATGGTATAGAGGAACATATAGATTAATATTAGTGTATGCATATTATAAATATGATCAATATAAACAGTATTATTTTTAAAATTATGATATGTGAGTAATAAGTTCTTATAATATAAACATCTAATATTAAGTAGATTAAAAACATTGTATACAATTTCATTATTGGTAAGCCTTGGTAAATTGAATATAAATTGAATTACATTATTTAAAGTAATATTTAAAGAATGAATATGAGACTCATACGATTGTCCCCAAAAAACAATAATTATAATTTACAAATATTATTAATAAAAAGTTAATAATTTGATACATTATATATAATTAGTACATAATAATATTAATTAACAATACTTAATATAAACATCATAGGCGTGTCAACGGGTCTTGCCTGTCATGCACAGGCATGACCTGCGAAATTTGATCAAACTTACATTATAAATTGCGGTACATAATAATATACACTTTTTTTCTTAGATTCTGATTTCATATTAAATATTTTGATTTTCATCATGTGGACTTTTAATATCTATTACAATTATTGATAATGCTTCCCTTGTGGAACCACTTCTAAAACACTTCATCAATGGATTGATTTTCTAAATTCAAATAATAGAACTTGTATTTTTCTTCACTTCTATAAAGTAATAGTACTTTTTACCACTATTCCGGTAACAACTTGTTCATGCAAACGTGCATTTTCTAAGCTGACAATTGTAAAAACAAAACTCCGCAGCACCATGACTCAAGAAAGACTTGACGCTTTAATGTTTCTATTCATAGAACAACAGATGACAACAAATATTAATTATGACAAAGTTATCGAGGAATTTAAAGTGATGATACCAACAAAACGGTGATGATACCAACAAAACGACGTTTAGAATTATAATATATATTAAGTATTAAGACCATTTTGTGATTATAAAAATATTTGTAAAAAGTATTAGGTACACATTAATTATATTTTAAAATACAATTTTATATTGCCTTGTTATTTTATTTATCTAATAAAAGGAATACTGTTTTTTATTCTGAAGTATTAGATAATAATTAATAATGATAAAGCTTATTAAGAAATTTGGAGGTCATATCCTTAAACCGAAACCAAATTTTGTTTAGGGGGTGGGGGTGCAGAAACCTACTTCCCCTGAATATGCCACTACTGTGCATGACCTCCGAACAAGGTCTGGACACGCCTATGATAAACATGATGATGATTAAACCAGACGGAACATTTATTTAGCAAAACCAAATTCTTCAGTATCATCTTCTGTGATGTCACCATACTAGCACATATGTAACCGACCCTTCTTAGCCTTTTCTTGAACCTCAATGTACTCAGTCATCTAGATAGAAAAAAAATTGAATGATTTAATACAAAGAAAATTGATCAATTAATATTATTTCTATTACCAATTTTTAGAAATATCTTTCACGACGTCTTTCAATTAACAAGAATCCTTCTTCGACCAACTTCTTGAAGTGATGCTCTTTGTTGTCGGCATCTTTTACAGTGATGTGAGTAAGATTGTCGTAAGTGTTACTCTTTATTGATGCTGATTCCCTTGTTAATGAACTTATCACGTACGGTGACAATCAAATCTTTTTGATATTCAGGCAACTTAGGTAGTTTCACTTGTGCAAATCCATATTCTTTGGCATACGGTCGATCATTTTTAAAAGTTGGAGGCAAATTAGCACACTCCTGAGCAATCACGATGTCCCTGTCACCATAATCAACATACAAGACATGAATACTCGGGACAGCAACCTTTTCTACTTTACCACTGTTGATCTTCCTTATGCTTAGCTGCACACATTTCTCCTAAAATTATATAGAATAAACATGAATATTATTTAACCATCATATAAAAGTTAATAAATTACAGATATTTAAAATATTACCTTGTTTTGGACTGTAAGAACCAGCAATAGGAGGATTAGAATCAAAGTGTTTCCGCAAGTTGTCAGCAAGACTTTCTAATTTGGGTTCATCTGATCCAGACTCAGGACTGACCTCTGATACAAGCACTTAAACATAGTTGGGTTTTCGTTTCTTTACCACATCTTCATGAACAGGTTTGTTACTGGTATTGTTTGCCTCCACTCGTTCCTCGACATAATTCTTCCATAACTAAAATAAATCGTATAGAACAATATTAATCAGTGTTAATGAATAAAAAATATTTCTCGTTAAGTATTGATATGTTTACGTTAATTCTCTTATCCTTTGCATATTTTTCTGCTTGTTGCAAAAGCTTGAAGTATTTTAAATGCTCAGCTGACCTGTGTACTGTATACAGTCCTTCTTTTACAAGCGCCACTGATATATTAACATTTCCCATGAACAGCCATGATTACTATAGAATTTCTATTTCACGGTGCATTATCTTTTCTTTCGCAAACGGTAATGCTTTTTGATAGTGTACTTCAGCTGCTGAGGATGCTTCACCATGGATTGCTCGTTCATCATTCGGGCATGTAATACCTAAAAATTTAAGTTTTAGTTAAATAACACAAATCAAAATTCATATTAAATAGAAATAAAAATAATTCCTCAAATAAATATGAGGAATTAATCAACATTAATTATGGATAATATTAGTTCAAATGAACTTAAATAAAATGTTAACTAATTACTAACCAGCCAAAAGGAAGGTAATAAACGAGTACTCTCTTCCAACGTGAAGACGCATTTTACAACCGCTCGCGACGTATTCAAACACAGCTTCAAACCTCGGAAAACGTTGGAAACTAGGCACGACCAGACTCCTAAACAAACAAATAATTATTACATTTATTTCTCCAAAAACATAATTAATTTTATTTACCACAGCACTAGAACAATCAGTGATATGTAGTTTAGGGGGAGAGAATTTTAAGTAAAACCCTTTGTGAAATTGTTTGGCAATTTTTCTTCTGTCTTCTTCAATTTATAAATGCACTGGGACATTTCGTCGCTCAGCTGCCCAGAGTTTCTCAGAACTTTTGTGTAAGTACTCCTCTTTATATTTTGGACAAACAGCGAAATCTGTTTAATCAATTCTAAAGCAATATCGCCTTATATCGCCTTATATCGCCAATATCGCCTTTAAAAAATATAATCTTATTAAATAGTTATGACACAAAAGACTACAAAAATGATTTTTAAAATGTACCGGATAATGGATAGTTCCACCACAGGAAGATGGATTTTTCCTATTTTCCTAATACTCCTTCCAAAGTAACCTCAACGTCCTTTTGCAGTAAACGAACTTCAACAAAGAACTTTGCTTCATCTCCCAAATCTGAATCTTCTGGTGGACACTATATAAAATGTATTAGTATTTATATTAGATATAACTAAATAACCAATTCAACTATTTGTCACATATAATATAAATAATAAAATATTGTGTAATTTAGAGAAATAATTATGTATACACTAAACCAGCGGTTCTCAACCTTTTTATAGTCGCGTACCACTTACACAATTTGAAAATTTTTACGTACCACCTGACCATTTTTTTTTTTGCTTATTAATAATGTATACGTTTATGTTATATGTATCTATAGAATTTTATTTCATTAGGAATTACAAAATGAGATAATATAAAATATAAAAATATATAATAAAAAATAAAGTATTTAATTGAGTAATGCACAGAAAGAAAAAAACTTAAAAATTTAGTATTTGCGATTTCGCTTTCTAAACATTTTTTCATTTTACTAAATTGTATATCAAAAAAAAGTACGAAAAAACTACATAAAAATATAAAATTTTAATATAAAATACACTTGATGCAAACAACGCGTATGCCATTCGTGAATAAACCGAAGGAACTCACGAAACTAAGGTAAAAACACATAATTGTGAAATAAGAATACGCTTTGTCGGGCTTATCCGATAAAGTTTATCGATTTATATTATATTAAAGAGAATATCGTTATCTTAATTGCTACGATTACAAACGACCTCCACACCATCAAATAAACATTAAATAAACCAAATAATATTAAATGTTAATAATAATTCGTACCAATTTTTTTTATAAAGGAAGATTTTCTTCGCGTACCACCTATGAGCTCTCCGCGTACCACTAGTGGTACGCGTACCACAGGTTGAGAACCGCTGCACTAAACGCTATAAAACTGTAGGTATTGGCAATTATTTTATGAATAAAAAAAACCTAACCCGGATTAGGGAAAGGTAAAAAAGGATCATGTTTCTTTCATACAACAACAACCGCTTCATTGTGGTTCTGTCAATAACAGATTCAACAACAGCCTTAATACGTGTTATAGAATTTTTCTTAAAAAATGATTCAACGTCATCAATGGAATTATATTTCTTTGCAGTGTTCTAGATCAGAGGAAAATATTTTAATAATTTTAAAACCCATGCTTTATTTAAACAGTAGGTAATATGATAAATAATTATTATAATATATTTTGTTAAACATAGGTGTCAAATCATAATACAAAAAAACATGGGAGGATCGGGGAGAAATTTCAGCTTAGGAAAATACAAAAGTATCAAGCCACTTAATTTCACCAAATATTGAATTTTAGCCAAAATGTATTATTGTTATTTTAACATAACTACAATACATTTTACACATTTGGGAAGATTTGCACGGTTTGAACAGTTGATGTTGAAATGTATTATTGTTATTTTAACATAACTACAATACATTTTTCACATTATTTTTTGAAGATCTGACTATTTGAACAGTTTATGTAGACACATTTACAAATCTTAGTTTATGTATTTGTCCTAAGTACCTATATAACATAATAAAAATGACTATAGTCGGGATATGAAAACTGAACCTAGTGGTATTTTTTTTATTAGGGCTATCTACTACTATAAGCGCTAACAAAAAACAGATAGATGATTCAATGGGGGTTATAAACGGTCAATGCCTGTCTGTGGCCCAAAAAAAAACAGGTCGCCATAGACTATGTTTTTTAAGATGATGTAACACAGATATTTGTTGTCTTTATCTTACAAATGCGTAACATAGCAAATTTACTCTCAGCAGACCACCTTTAGCTCTGTTAATTTAAATTTTAGAGTGAATCGATCTATCATGAAAATTTATGGTAAGAACATTATATGTGTGCATTTTTTAATTTACACTATATTATACACACATAACTTGCTAAACAATTGAACTATCGTAAACACAGATAATGTTCTTACCAACAAGTTTCATAACTAACAGAGCTAAACATAATCTGCCGAGAGTACATTTTCTTTGTTACATTCAAGACGGAGAAAAGAAATGGCTGGTAAAGTTCTTTTTACTTGAACAGAGTATATATACTTCTATAAAAGAAAAAAAATGTAAAATTCATCATCATTTTATGACATAAAATTGGTTTTTGAAGAAGTGGCCCATCGCTCAAAATCCCAAGTTCCTGTTGGCCCAGCGATGAAATAATTTTCATATTATATTATAATGGTGAACACATTTAAAAATGTTATTTTGATATTTACTTGTACAGCAATTTAAGTACATAAAATAACATAATACCTTAGCATTGGGATCCCATCTTCCTGCCATAGCAGCTTTAGCCTTGTTCTGAAGGACAACTAGGTTTTGAACATAAGGTATTCGGTTATTTGACATCACAGTTTTAACAGTTACTAGATCATTTCAAGAAGCTCGTTTACAATATTGTTGCCTAAAAGCATAAAATATTGGTTTTAATTATTCATTATCAGGGCTCGTAACTTCATGCACTAAAAAATTCATAAATAAGCATGCATTCATGCACTAAAAATTGTCAAAATATGCATTAAAATATGCACTTAAAAGTTCAATAATATGCATTTATATGCATTAACATTTTTAAATTATGCACTCAAAATATGCATTATGTAAAAGAAACATGACCAAATTTTAAAATAATAAGAATAAATCCATACATTTTAAAAGTATTTTATTCCTTTTAATTTTTATATATTTAACAGTCAAAATTAATAAAATAAAAATAAAATTAATACTTGTGAAGTTCAAATAGCTTTGTCATCTTTATAAATTTTAATTAGGTAGTCAATTTTGTCTAATTTGTGTACACCCTTATTCAGCACCAACAATGAAAACATTTGGAATGAAATATTAGGTTTTTCATTTTGAGATAATTTAGTAATATATAATATTTTATAAGTGTTTTTTTTATGTTTTCCAACAAGAGGGCGCATTAGTAGACAAAATATGGCATAAAACCATGGTTTCGTAATTCAAGTAATACGGCTTATTGGAGTGGTTTACAGTAAAAATACCTATTATAAAAATTGTAAAGTATAGAACTTTTTTTACAATCGTGAGAAGCCTGATTTTTGATATTTTTATTAATTAGATAAATAATTACTCAATAAAAAATTTAAAAAACCGTTATAATTTACCATGCGATATTGGACGATTGGAACAAGATATCAAAAATCGGAAGAAACTTTTCAAATATTTGTCTAAAAAATATTTTTATGAAATAATATGCACTAACGACTGTAAAAAATCAACTATATGCCAAATATGACTTTACACCCAAAACATGCAAAAACATGCACTATCAAACTTCATATTATTATTACTATTGTTATGAAACAGATTTGTATCTCAGTTAGCATGTTTTCCTGTGTGGCAAAGAAAACATGCAGATGCATGAACTTACGAGCCCTGTTCATTATACATATTATACACATAAAAAACTAAATTTTCTCACCCTATGTTGGGTAAAAGATGTCACCGTAGTCTCGAGTTGACTTTCCAACACCACATACTTGACCAGCAAGTTTCAAAAATACCTTTTTTCCAATAAGTTTTTTTACGAAGGAACTCACGGGCTTCCCATGAAAACGGCTCATCATCAGTACCTTTGGATGCTCAATAATATTTTGCTCTAAAAATTAAAAAATAAAATATAATATATATCTCAATTATTATTATCCTTACATTATTATCCTTTGTATATTGACACAATATTTTATTTTATATATTGAAAACATCTTATAATTATTAGTAACATGACACAGAGTACATCAATTTTTAGATTTTTAATATAATAATTAATTTACTCAATTTTTTTTTATCATTATCATATCATTTTTGAACCTTAATTATACGGAACAATGCATATTGACAACAAATAACATATATTAATAAATAGGTTATTTTTAAGTTTTTTAAGTGTTCATCAGCAATTACATCAGGAAGTTTCAGAATTTTCGTGTAAAAATAGTTAAATAATAGATGATAGGACCTAACAAAAATATATTATTACATTGCAGATAGTCATAAAAATAAGTATATTCATCAAGTGAGTTAATTCATGAGATGTTTATAATTGATTTACAAAAACCATTAACTGTAAAAGAATATCCATTCAGTTGGTTTAAAAAGGATGTTTATAATTGCAATGTTGTTTTAGTCCAAGTATTAAATATAAATTCAAATATACAGAATACTTCAGCTTAGGTATGTTATGTACCTATTATGTACAACGTAACATACGTTTCTAGCAGTGGCGTACCCAGGATTTTAGAACTGTGGGTCTGCCTTACTTACGAGAGGCCACTGTGTAGAAACGTTAACCAACTACCTATATAGTTAGGTATTACAAAGTCACTCTGGGCTCGCGATTTACCTTATTAGTTGTTTACATCACATTTTGATACCAACGTTCAATATAACTATATCACATATTTTAGCTTTAATAGCTATATTTAATTTATTTTTATTTTTATTTGTTGCATTAAAATGTATATTCAATTAAAAAATTTACCTGACATATTTAAATCATTAGAAGAAATTTTACAAATTTATTATTTTATTTGTATAAGTATATTTGCAGTATATTTATTTTATTTTAGTTTTCAATGACTGATTTCATTTTTACAAGAGATATAGAATAGGTAGTTCTAAATTCTAATACATTAGAAAAGTCAAAAATAATACATTAATAAAATTTATATTTAATAATACCTACGTGAAAATAATAGTAATAACATTACAATCATTTTCTGCGCTTTTTCATTAGTGCGAATTATGTACTTATTACGTTAACAAAATCAATGGTTTGAGCTATGTTGCTTTCTATGCTCAATATGGCCAAATTTGATAGCCGGTCTTCAGTCATAGTTGAGCTAAGGCATGTTTTGAGAAGTTTTAGAACGCTAAAACTTCTTTCTGCAGTTGCACTGCTGACTGGTAGTATATAAAAAATGTTATACAAAGTATATAAATTTGGATATGAAGAAACCATGTCTCGTGATATCATAAATTTTCAATACATCATTTAATTTTAAAGGTCCAGTTACTCCAGTTTCAATAGTTTTGCCATTTGTTGGTAAACTAGATGTAATGAACGGTATTCCACTTCTATATCAATTTCATCTATGTCAACTTCATAAAATCTTATATAATATCTATATCCAACATATTTTTATACTTGTGTTTATCGAATTTTAGGTACCTACGTACATTATAAGTTGATAAGCTTAAACACGATTTCGTACGCGTTATTTTACTTCAATACTCAGTCTTCACAGCTGTATATACGATATACCCCTATATCATAATAGCAGATCTTCGATATTTTGAAGGGAGGGGGGCACATATAAATTGTATAATTTTAATTTTCATTAATAATACATACATACTATCAATAATGATTATAATAAGTAATAATTAATAGTTGGTAGTATTATCGTTATCAACTGAATGTTTCATTTATATGATACTCGTAGTTACATAACAACTTGTCGACAGAAAATTGACAAGGGGCACGTGCCTCTCCTCTAAATTCACCACTGTACATCATTTTTTCAAATAAAAAAATGTTTATATAGTTTGCCATCTCGAGGGGCCACATTTAACTGGGAAAACAACTGTGGGTCAGCCGACCTCCAAAAACCCCCCCTGGGTCCGCCCCTGGTTTCTAGTAGTATTGACAATATAACATTAATAAGGCAATTAATATAAACTAGCATGCTGAGGTCATTGCGAGAGAGTAGTGAACACAGTATTAAACAATTAAACTATAAAAAAGTTATCACACGTTTCTCCCCGAGAAAGTCTTAACATTCATACGGAAGGTTGTGGGTTGACCAGAATACCAAGAACAAGACCCGAACACTGTCTCATGACCGAATTTAGCCACTACTATGACCACCCACTCCAAAGGACACAATCATATATATAGGAGCCCATGACAAGAGCTCATCAGACGGTTACAGTATAGGTTAGCAAACTATTAGATGGTTAGGTATACCCAAGACACTTGGAGACAGGTTGTAACATCACTCACAATCTTAGATATCATTTTAGAGTCGTAACACTTAACCACCACAGCTTATATACATTGTAGTTTTGTACTTAAAATATTGTTAAAATAAACACACAACCAAGCACACAACATAACCAAATACATCAAGTATTTGTTTCTACGTTGATGCATAAATTGTCGTCCGTTGGGACGTCTCAGGTATATTAAGACATGCAAAGTACTAATTTTAGCTAATAATTATTAGGCACTTAAAAATAACCAAACATTTTGGGTTAAGTGGAAAATAGAGAACAAATATATTAAATTAGTACCTAATAAAAATTAAAAATACTTATAAAATGTAAGTACCAATACTCTGATTTAAAAGATAATATACCAGTTTTGAGCACTTTTTTCCCCTTTCACCAGTTAAGTGTCTATCACAATGTGAGATATGTCCACTACCAGACACAACTGTTGCCTAGTATGTTCTCTTTTGAAACTGAATGTAGTTTATAAATATAAAATATACATCCTATGAGCCGTTTTTACAATGCCCAGCTAAGTGTCGGTTAATTCTATGGGTAACAAAAAAGATATTCTGCCAGTAAGGGTTATCAGACACTTAACCGGACATTGTAAGATTGGCCCTAAATGTATTAAACATTCATCAAGAGTTAACACAGTTGGGCACTATTCATAACAAAATTAATATAAAATAATTGCTTTAAAACATCAATATAATCTAGCTATCCTAACTGTTTGTCACCCGTTGAAATAAAACGTAATAGGTTAATGTTTGTAGTAAGTACCCTTGAAGTGCTCAGCGCTTTACTGTAATAAATCACACATGTAGATGAAAACCTCCAGTACCTGAGAATATTTTATGTTAAATAAAACAGAGTAGGTAGGTACCCCGCAATTATATCTCAAAATACCAGCTAATCCAAATATCAGAACTCAAGTCACAGACGAATCTGTTGACCGAGAGCTGTCCGCGACACGGGTAAGTATGACACATGACGTCGTCTTGGTCTAGTACCTGATGGACGATTCCCTCGAAGACGGGTTCCTCTGCGGAGGACACGGCACCGCCTGGCTTTTTAGTCATCGTGGCTAGGCTCATGGCTACGGTTGACATTATTATTTTTGAGTGAAGATGGTTCGCAAAAGGGCGGCCAGGATTCCGGCACGTTACAGGTGTGTGCGCTGCCAAGTGATTCGGCAACGACGGCGAAAACGAGCGATCCGTCGGGACGGTGTCGAGAGTGTTGTTGACGACGGCGATAAGGAGATGAAAATTAATATTCTGACGGTCTGCATTGATCGACCGGCGATCAGTAGCGGTCAACGATACCTCGGCCATGTTCGGCGTGTGATTGTTATATCACGGAGAATACGTCCGGACGTGCTAGCGGGATCGACGAAAACAGTTGGAAAACACGGACCTGTGGATCGGCAGCGGCGGAATGTGGTTGTGTCCTTCGGACCTGTTGTGATGCGCCGTCGATAATAATGATAATAATATTATGGTCTGTGTAAATATGGCGACTGGCGTTGTCACTTGTCATGCGGTTTACATTTAAAGGGCGATATTAATCATAGAAATTAATTAACTTAGTTAATTTACAGTGCGCGGCGATCCGTAGCGGCGTTCGACGAGCGCGGAAAACGATACGTCCAGCCGTCCGACGTTCTGGCGGGATGAGGGCGAAATGCGAATTATTGAATATTGGAAACAGTAAAAAAAATAAAGGTAAACCACAGATATTATATCTGTGATATTATTACAGATTTTATATCTGTGAGGTAAACCAATTTCGTTAGCAGGTGATTCTGTTTGGTTGCAACCACGGACTAAGGTAGAATCCGTGGTTGCAACTTTTTGGTTGTTACCATTAATGTTATCATATTATCAGTTTTCGTTATTTTATTCCTTATCTAATATTGTGTATATAATCACATAAAATATAATAATATAATATTGATATAATCGTGATGATAATATAAAATTTTTGAGTTATTAATTATTATTATAGTTTTTCATAAATTAAATAGTAATTAATGCCAATGTGCTGGAGTGAAATTTTCACAGTTTGCATTTTTTTATTCATTTATTTTAGTATTAATTATTAAGTATGGATAGTAGGTAATTTATCAAAATTAGTTTTGTTAATTGGCTTAATCCACCTTCAACGTTTAAACAAATTTTTAGGTTCAAAAAAAAAGTACCTACTCGTTCATCATTATTTAAAAACATCTAAAGTGCATATAACAAATTTTATGTTGATACTTGATTGCAAGTTTATACGATGACATTGACTTCAAATGTCCTTTCAAGCTCACAAGTAGTTCAGTTGAGGTAGGTACCGAAGCAAGCTATTAAATATTAGGCACTTAAATTTTACTATTTTATTATTTGCAATGCAGGTTTTGATTTTACAATGAAATGTTCAAGTTGGAAGGCCCCCGTCGACTACGAAAACGCAACTTTTATGACTGTATGCCGTATAGTATTTGAACAATACTGAAAAATTACGGTAATTAAAATTAATCAGTTTCTGAACTATATAATATCGGTTAAATTTGTAATTATGTTTAATGCTTTTGTAAGCTAAAACATCAATGTTATTACTACCATTTAATTTATTAGAATATTATTCAACATATATGTCATTCACAACATTTTTGTCTTTGAAAACGATTTCTGTACTTTCTACTAAGTGACACATTGTAATTTTCTTTATAACCACCAAATTTGATTCCCTTTTGAAGTTTCTGAATCTCTGACAAAATATTCTTTTCAGTTTTTGGATTTTTGCATCCCATTTCTTTCATCATTGTTTTGGTACTAAACTATATTATGCATTTCATCCAAATTCTAGGAATTTTTCAATCTTAGTAAGTTAAACAAACCATAACTAGTATATCAGATGTACATAATACTGTAATGGTAAAGATAATCATTCAATGTACAATAGTGTCATGATGCTTAATATAAATCAACGACTAACTGTACTTTTACCTTAAAAATGGATACTCAACATCCAAGGTGTTCCCCCTTGAGAAAGGGGGGTGGGCTGCGGCCCTTGTATTTTTCTTTAATGAATACATAGATATCTATGCTATACTAGACAGCGAACATTTTTACATTTTAAATGAAAAAAGTGAAGCTGGTTTTAATCTTATAGGATCTGTGAATAAAAGTAATAAAGTTATTAATTAATCAGTTATCATCGACCAAATGATTTAGTATTTTCACAGAATACTCTACTATCCACTATTTTAGCTAGTGGACTATTTTTTTATCACAGTGTATCTATCAACTAGGTACTTTATTTATATATTTACGTTATTTCTTATTGTATACCACATAGGTTAGTTAAAATAGTAATAACAAATAACAAATATTTTAGACCTAAAAACAGAATATTCTTATTACCTACATTAAACTTTTACATAGTATACCTAACTAGTAAGTAAAATACTGTTATAATGAGTGAAAATCGCAAATACAACATAATTTATTTAATATTTAAAAAAAAATAATTCTTTACTTTTCTATAAACATGTCAACTTAAAATTTATTTTTACTTTTCTGCTTTTACTTATTGTGATGTCATTTTTTTTATAACTAACACCATAAACAACATTTTAAATATCATTAGGGTTATAATTCTTATATACGGATGACCTCCTGCATTGTTGACATAATATGATCTGGGCATAGTTAATGAGTTGTTCGAAGTCACCTCACGTTTGGTAATAATTAAGACGATTTAACACTGTTGTGTGAGATCATGTACCTTTACAATTTGCAAATATACCAATTAACACAGACAAGTTAGCGAATATAGGTTACCGAAAACCACAATAAAAAATATTTGTTGGCTACAGTAGTCAATGTAGTTCTGTAGTTAAAATATAATTTAACATGTACTATGACACCATTATATCATCAATAAATATTATTTTCTATGGATGTTATAATAGATATTAACGTAGAGTATCAGTTTTCAACTTTTATACTAAACATGTCGTATCCTAAAGTTATAAGATAACTAAAAAAACATGGTGTCCGAATTTACCCTACATGTCCGAAATCCCCCGTTAAGATAGTCATTAGTACAAGAATCATTGGTTCAGACATTTTTAAGGCCCTCCCCCCCCCCGCGGACAAAGTCTGGGTACACCTATGCTCAACATCTCCTATAGTTCAGTGTGGATAAATTACTTGATTAATAAATTACTATATATGATATTATGATGTAGTGTGTATTGTTTAATATTCCAACAAATTTGTTTTTGCAATGGGAGGATGAAGTTCTCAATCTGGGAAAAAACTTTAATGGATTAAGTGATTGTAATATAAATGCTATAATAGTAAATAGTTAACCTGATATTTTACTTATTTTGTGTTATAAATAAACATAATTTTAAATTTCAGGTTGGCGGATGTGATGGCATAATGATTTTAATTGTGCATATGTTTTTTATGTAAGTATTCAAAAATGAAGAATAATAATTAGTATGAATACTAACCACAATTAAGAGAGTACGCTACACAGGGATTTGTTGTCTCCGTTTTACAAGTCTGTAACATAGAAAATGTTCTGCAGATCACTTTTAGCTCCAGTAGCTTAAAAATTAGAGTGAATTGACCTCTTATAGAATTTAAAGGTAGAGATTAAACGTGATCTGCTGAGCGTAACATAACCTAACCGCTTGCTTTCATAGTATTGAGGCCTATATATAAAGTGATAGAATATAGTCCTTTATTGCTTATATTAGGTATGCCTTTGTGCTGATACAAACCTGGTATCAGGACTAAAATAATTAATTTTTAATTATAACCTTTGTTAAAAAATATTGTATTTGAATAACATTTTTAAATCAGATTTGTCTTATTGTAGGTTTTATTGTACGTTCTTTGCGGAGATACCATAGAAGTTTACAACACCAATAATACCTGGTCCATGGAAACATGGTCGAGAAGTTAATGTCAATGTCAATGTCATCTTTTACAATATCTCAAGTTTTTAGAAGAATAGTCCTTAATAACTGATAGACCACCACATTGTATATCTATTTACTATTTATAGACACATATTTTGTACAGTGGCGTCATTTCAGTTTTCAATAGAGGGGGGGCAAAGGTTTTGACCAGCCCAAATGGGTAAATAAAAAACCACTCTCTTCGCTCGCAACTACATATTATCTACTTAAATTATTTTATGGTACCCTTTTTATTAACTAGGTAACATCATTTTAAAATATAAGGTAGCAGATATTTAAAAAAAAACAATTATATACCTATATCAGATAAAAGTACTATTATATAAAATATAAACTATTATATGGTAATATTTATATTGATAAATAAAAATATTAGTAGTTTATTAGGATATCTTCTTCTTTTTTTATTTAAAAAAAATTTTTATATTTTCAAGTTTTTAAAAAATATTTAATAATAAGACTTTTGTATATTTTAAATCAACTATTGTATTCAAATTAAATAAATACAGTTTAGATTCAGACGATTCAGTATAATCATTAGTTCATAATAGTATAAATTATAATTGTTTTTTTTTTTTTTTTTTGGCAATAATACTTTGCTTTGTACTTATTATATAATCAGAAATAGTAGTGCTCTACACAATAAAATGAAGAAGGTTCAGCCAGCTGCAGTGGGATAGCCAGGATTTTAAAGTACCGTGGGAAAGGGGCAAAGCTAAAATATTTTTAAAAAAATACTCGACAATAAATAATAATTTATTTTTATGTTGTTTCAATGTTTTGATATGTCCAACGAGGGAGGAGCATTGCTAACAGCTCCCCAAAACCCATGGCTGTCGCTTCTATTATGTTCTATGCCAAACAGCAAACTGCATAACAAGAAAATGACTTAAAAAGACTGCACTTATGTATGATGTATACTTATTCAATATTGTATTTACTCTTTGTATGATCACTGTAAGAAATAGTGACTATCATAAATACTAATTATATTTTTTAATTATTATTTTCTAACCTTAAACAGTAATAAATTCCTACATTTCAAAAAATAGGAATAATAAAATGATAGCTATTAAATTTGTACATTGTACATATATGTACATATATTTCACATACTTGTAATGCAGTAATTATTAGTATGTATTTTTCACAATAATTTCAAATCGAATAAATATTTTTTGAAAAAAATATGTTCAACTTAAAAATTGTTATAGGTACTTGTAATAATACAATAATATAAATCCGTACCGATAAGTGTGAAAGGGTATGGCGTCACCGTTTCGTCGTATTATGAATTATTTATTATTTCATCACAATGTTAATTTTTTAGGTGCAAGAATAGCAAAATGTGAAGACACATTTTCTACATTAAAAATAATATCTCCAAATATGTATTTTATTATATCACTTATTAATAACGATTGATTTAATATATTTCAATTGGATGAATAGTCCGTGTCAGGAATTACTCAGGATTTATTATTGTGTATTCGCCAT